CCCAAAATCACCCAAAATCCACCTGAAATGCCCCAAAATCCACTCAAAAACCCCCAAATTCACCCCGAAATCACCCAAAATCCACTTGAAAACACCCAAAATCCACCCAAAACCACCCAAAATCCACCTGAAATGCCCCAAAATCCACTCAAAAACCCCCAAATTCACCCCGAAATCACCCAAAATCCACTTGAAAACACCCAAAATCCACCCAAAACCACCCAAAATCCACCTGAAATGCCCCAAAATCCACTCAAAAACCCCCAAATTCACCCCGAAATCACCCAAAATCCACTTGAAAACACCCAAAATCCACCCAAAACCACCCAAAATCCACCTGAAATGCCCCAAAATCCACTCAAAAACCCCCAAATTCACCCCGAAATCACCCAAAATCCACTTGAAAACACCCAAAATCCACCCAAAACCACCCAAAATCCACCTGAAATGCCCCAAAATCCACTCAAAAACCCCCAAATTCACCCTAAAATCACCCAAATTCACCCCGAAAACCCCCAAATTCACCCCAAAATCACCCAAAATCCACCTGAAATGTCCCAAAATCCACCCAAAATCCCCCAAAATCCACCCAAAATCCCTGAAAATCCACCCAAAATCACCCAAATTCCACCCAAAATCCCTGAAAATCCACCCAAAATTTCCCAAAATCCACCTGAAATGTCCCAAAATCCACCCAAAATCCCCCAAAATCCACCCAAAATCCCTGAAAATCCACCCAAAATCACCCAAATTCCACCCAAAATCCCTGAAAATCCACCCAAAATTTCCCAAAATCCACCCAAAATCCCTGAAAATCCACCCAAAATCCCCCAAAATCCACCCAAAATCCCTGAAAATCCACCCAAAATCCCCCAAATTCCACCCAAAAACCCCCAAAATCCACCCAAAATCCCTGAAAACCCACCCAAAACCCCCCAATTTCCCTCCAAAATCCCCCAAATCCCCCCCCAAAACCCCGAAAAGTTTCCCAAAACCGCCCCAAACCTCCCCAAAATCCCCCAACGTTTCCTTGAGTTGCCCCCAAACCCCGAAGTTTTTCCCAAAACCGCCGGAATTGGCCCCAAATTGGCCCCAAACCTGCGGGAGCTGCTGGAGGCCGAGCGGCGGCGCGAGCGGCGCCTGCGGGACCGGCTGCACTGGCTGGGCTGCAAGTACCCCCGGGTGAGACTGGTTTGGACTGGTTTGGACTGGGAGGGGCGAACATGGGGCGAAACGGGGGGAAAACGGGCAAAAACGGCCCAAAAATGGGGAAAAACGGGGAAAAAATGGGGAAAAACGGGGAAAAATGGGGAAAAAAGGGTTAAAAATGGGGGGAAATGGGGAGCTAATTTGGGTTAAAGTTGGGTTTTGTTACTGGTTTGGACTGGTTTGTACTGGGAGGGGCGAAAATGGGGGAAAAATGGGGGAAAATGGGCAAAAACGGGGAAAAAATGGGGAAAAACGGCCCAAAAATGGGGAAAAACGGCCCAAAAATGGGGAAGAAAGGGGTAAAAATGGGGAAGAAAGGGTTAAAAAAGGGGGAAAATGGCAAAAAATGGTTAAAAATGGGGGGAAATGGGGAGCTAATTTGGGTTAAAGTTGGGTTTTGGAACTGGTGTGGACTGGTTTGTACTGGGAGGGGCGAAAATGGGGCAAAATGGGGGGAAAATGGGCAAAAACGGGGAAAAAATGGCGAAAAACGGGGGAAAATGGGGAAAAAAGGGGAAAAAATGGGCAAAAACGGCCCAAAAATGGGGAAAAAAGGGTTAAAAATGGGGAAGAAAGGGTTAAAAATGGGGGAAATCGGAGTTAAAGTTGGAGTTTGGTACTGGTTTGGACTGGTTTGGACTGGGAGGGGCGAAAATGGGGCAAAACGGGGGGAAAATGGGCAAAAACGGGGAAAAAATGGGGAAAAACGGCCCAAAAATGGGGAAAAAAGGGTTAAAAAAGGGGGGAAATTGGAGTTGGGTTTTGTTACTGGTTTGGACTGGTTTGGACTGGGAGGGGGCGTGTGATGAGGTAGCGGTGAGGCCTTGTTTGCATGTCATTTGCATATGGTCAGGGTGGGCAGGGCCTCATTTGCATGTCATTTGCATGCACGTGGTAAGGGGCGGGACTGGTCTGTCCTGGTTTATACTGGTCCATACTGGTCCATACTGGTTTCCCAGTCCATCCCAGTCCCCTCCCAGTCCCTCCCAGTTCCCTCCCAGTCCCTCCCAGTCCCTCCCAGTCCCTCCCAGCCCCTGGCCCCGCCCCCTTGCTCTCTCATGAATATTCATCAGGCTGGAGGAGCTGCAGATCCTGCTGGACACTTACCCCGCCCCCACCATCGCCGCCCACCGGCGAATCAGGTGCGAGACCACGCCCCCCTCATTAGCATAGCACAAACCCTGCCCTCATAGCCATGGCCACGCCCCTAATTAGCATAAAAGCGCTGCCTGTGCTGACATAGCCACACCCCCTCATTAGCATAAAGCTGGCATCACCCTCACTGCTGTAGCCACACCCCCTCATTTGCATATCCCACTCACCGTCCCTCATTTGCATAACCCCAGCACCACCCTCATTAGCATAAGCTGATCAGTGCCCCCCCTCATTTGCATAACTCAGACTCCCTGCCATAGCCACACCCACTCATTAGCATAACGGAAATCTCGGCTCTCTCATCAGCATAATGGCACTGGTGCAGAGCCACGCCCCCTAATTAGCATAACACCGACCAGCCCTACCCCTCATTAACATACCACACTGAAGCCCCGCCCCTCGCTGCCGCAACGATGCCTCATTAGCATATTTGCCCTCATTACCATAACCCCACCCCCTTGCCCTGACTCTCCTCATTAGCATAACCCCGCCCCTTTTCCCTTTCCAGGGCGGGGCTCTCTGAGGGGCTCCGCGCCGCCGAGGCCGAGGCCGCCATGTTGGAGGCGGAGCTTGCGGCCCTGAGGGGGCTGGGCCCGGAGTTCCGGGCGCTGGCGCTGGAATTGGGGCAGATCCGGCAGGAATTGGCCCGCAAGGGCTGGGCCCTGCGCCAGCTCCGCCCCCCGCCCCCGTGACGTCACCGCAGCTCATTAAAATACCGCCGGCACCGCCCACTGCCTCCGCCTCTGTCCTTATATGGGTGTGGGGGGGGTGATTGACAGGGAGCGGCGGGAGTGATTGACAGCTCGTAGCGCTCGTCTATTGGCTCGCAGGGTGTGATTGGCAGGCAGGACAAGCCCCCTGACCCTAAATCGGTCATGATTGACGGCTGGCAGAGTGCTCTGATTGGCTCGGAGGCTCTTGAGGGCGTGCTCAACGCCCTCTGCGTTGATTGACAGCCGAGAGCGCGTTCCTATTCGCTCACACTCCCGGAGGGCGGGGTTAACCCTCCCGCCACTGCCTTGATTGGCAGGCAGCACCGCGCTCCCATTGGCTGTCGCTTTCCCGCCTCCGCCGTGATTGACACCTATCCGCCCTCTCCCATTGGCTGCCGGAAGCTGCGCTTTGATTGACAGCACCCCTTCCTCTTTCCATTGGCTGCGCCTGAGGCGGGCTCGCCGCTGATTGGCAGCCTCCTCAGGGAGGGGGCGGGAGCAGAGGCGCAGCGATGGCGGCGGGGCCGGGAGCGGCGGGCGCCGCTCGCGTCTCCTCAGGCCGGGACCTGAACTGCGTGCCGGAGGTGGCGGGAGCGCTGGGGGCCGTGGCCAGGCAGGGGTGAGTCTCGGAACCCCCGAAACCCAAAAAAAACCCCAAAAATCCCGCTGGGAAACCCCCCAAAAACCGACCCCGAAACGCCCCTCGTGTTCCCGGGAGCGCACAAACGAGCGGCGGCATCGCCGAATTTCCTCAGGGACACCCAAATCCCCTCCAGAGACACATAAATCCCCTCAGGGATCCCCGAAATCCCCTCAGGGACCCCAAAATCCCCTCAGGGATCCCCCAGATCCCCTCAGGGATTCTCAGATCCCTTCAGGGACCCTCCGAATTTCCTCAGGGACACCCAAATCCCCTCCAGAGACACATAAATCCCCTCAGGGATCCCCGAAATCCCCTCAGGGACCTCAAAATCCCCTCAGGGATCCCCCAAATCCCCTCAGGGATTCTCAGATCCCTTCAGGGACCCTCCGAATTTCCTCAGGGACACCCAAATCCCCTCCAGAGACACATAAATCCCCTCAGGCATCCATAAATCCCCTCAAGGACCCCCAAAATCACCTCAGGGACCCCAAAAATCCCCTCAGGGATCCCCAAAATCCTCTCAGGGACCCCAAGTGTCCCTCAGGGACCCCAAATCTGTTCAGGAATCCCCAAAATCCCCTCAGAGATTCTCAGATCTCTTCAAGGACCCCAAATCCCCTCAGGGACCCCCAAAATCCCTCTCAGGGATCCCGAAAATCCTCTCAGAGACCCCAAAATCCCCTCAGGAATCCCCCAAATCTCCTCAAGGATTATCAGATCTGTTCAGGGACCCCAAAATCCCCTCAGAGACCTCCCCAAATCCCCTCAGTGACCCCAAAATCTCCTCACGGACCCCAAAATCCCCTCAGGATCCCCCAAATCCCCTCAGAAATCCCCCAAATCCCCCAAATCCCATCAGGGATACCCCAAATGCCCTCAGGGATCCCCCAGTTCCCGCCAAATTCCCCAAAATCCCTTCAGGAACCCCCAAACTCCCTCAGGGATCCCCAAAATCCCCTCAGGGATTCTCACATCTCTTCAGGGAGACCCAAATCCCCTCAGGGATCCCAAAAACTCCTTAGGAATCCCAAAATCCCCTCAGGGATTCCCAGATTCCCTCAGAGACCCCCAAAATCCCCTCAGGGATTCTCAAATCTCTTCAGGGACCCCAAATCAACTCAGGGACCCCAAATCTCCTCAGCAATCCCCAAAATTCCCCCCAAGTTTGCTCAAATCCCCTCAGGGATCCCCAAAATCCCCTCGAAATTCCCCAAAATCCTCTCAGAGACCCACAAACTCCCTCAGGGACCCCAAAATCTCCTCAGAGACCCCAAAATCCCAGGAACCCCCAAACTCCCTCAGGGATCCCCAAAATCCCCTCAGGGATTCTCACATCTCTTCAGGGAGACCCAAATCCCCTCAGGGATCCCAAAAACTCCTTAGGAATCCCAAAATCCCCTCAGGGATTCCCAGATTCCCTCAGAGACCCCCAAAATCCCCTCAGGGATTCTCAAATCTCTTCAGGGACCCCAAATCAACTCAGGGACCCCAAATCTCCTCAGCAATCCCCAAAATTCCCCCCAAGTTTGCTCAAATCCCCTCAGGGATCCCCAAAATCCCCTCGAAATTCCCCAAAATCCTCTCAGAGACCCACAAACTCCCTCAGGGACCCCAAAATCTCCTCAGAGACCCCAAAATCCCCTCAGGGATCCCCGAAATCCCCTCAGGGATCCCCGAAATCCCCCTCAGGGACCACCAGATCCCCTCAGAGACCCCAAAATCCCTTCAGGGACCCCAAAATCCCCTCAGGAACCCCAAAATCCCCTCAAAGACCCCAAAATCCCCTCAGGGACCCCAAAATCCCCTCAGAGACCCCAAAATCCCTTCAGGGACCCCAAAATCCCCTCAGGAACCCCAAAATCCCCTCAAAGACCCCAAAATCCCCTCAGGGACCCCAAAATCCCCTCAGAGACCCCAAAATCCCTTCAGGGACCCCAAAATCCCCTCAGGAACCCCAAAATCCCCTCAAAGACCCCAAAATCCCCTCAGGGACCCCAAAATCCCCTCAGAGACCCCAAAATCCCTTCAGGGACCCCAAAATCCCCTCAGGAACCCCAAAATCCCCTCAAAGACCCCAAAATCCCCTCAGGGACCCCAAAATCGTCTCAGAGACCCCAAATTTGCCCCAAATTCCCCCAAATCCTCTCAGGGATCCCCAAATTCCCTCAGGGACCCTCAAAAGCACCCCCAAAACGCCCTCCCAGTTCATCCCAG